CAGCTCCTCTGCAAAGTGCAGCAGGGCTGAGGGCACTGCCTGCAGGCACCAAGGGGAGAGGAGAGAAGTAGGAGAGATGTTACAGGCTGTGTGGGTTTGGAGGATGCTATGAGCTCACTGCAGGGAGAGAACTTCACAGATCTGTACATGGTAAATCTCTGGGTGTAGGATGGTGTAGCTGGTGTTCTTGGAGGGATATCCAAAAGCTGGTACATGCCACAGCAGATATGATCTTTCAGGAGGATTCTCACAGTTTCCCATTTTTAGACAAGGAAGACGTGCAGCAGAGCATGGCTTCCCTGCCACCCCATCAGAGGGATATTGCATGATTTCTGCCTTCTCCCAGAGACCACTCCAGGGGTTTGCACCTGGGTGTGCAGCCAGGATGACCTAGGGCTCTCCTTTAGAGCTGCGTCCCAGGGACCCTGGGGGCTGTGCATCAGGGCAGGGACGCTGCCACCTGCCAGGGTCAGCACTCAGCCTGCCTGGGGAGCTCCAAAAAATGCCTTGGGTGAAAGCTCTCTTTGGAAGGAGTGACCCATGGCAGGGTAGGAAACTTCTGCTGTCCAGAGGATGCAGCATGGCTCAGGGCTGCTCAGATTTCAACATCACCCAGAGGATATTTGCAGATTGGTAATTTTAAAGATGGTTGTCAAGGTAAGGCATTCCCTGAAAGGGTAGTAATCAGTGCTTTCAGTTTTCTCCTCTTGGTCAGCTGGGTGGGCAGTGGGAGATGGGAATTTATTTCTGTGCTCTGGGGTAGGCAATGAGACCCCAGTTCTCATTAGCACTTGTCTGAGCTGCTCTTCCCCCCTGCACACACGGAGATGTCCCTGGGCAGTGCCCTGCTGCCAGGAGGGGTCTGCAGGACAGAGCTGAGCACACAGCAGGAGGGATGGGGACTGTGAGAATGCAGAGGGAGGAGACATGGGGACAGAGAAACAGGTCCTGGCCAAGAAGAGCTCCAGGCAGCAGAGCCATGGGCAGGAAGATCTGAGATCAGTCTGTGTTGTTTTTTACCTATTGCTGTAGGGCAGGAAAGACTCCTGCAGAGCCCAGACCAGAGCCTTCAGCTCCCTGGGGCACCCTCAGCCAGAACAAACCAGAGCTCACCGAAGATCTTCTTGAAAAGGGAAAGGAGTTTTGGGGAGGTTATATAAGAAATTGAATAGATTATTCTCAAAGTCTGCCCTAACTTATCACTTCCATTACCTCCTTGAAAAGATCCCCATGCCCAGAGGAAGCAAATGTCCAACAGCAGCTCCACCACGATATTCTTCCTCCTGGCATTTGGAGATAGACGGGAGCTGCAGCTCTTGCACTTCTGGCTCTTCCTGGGAATCTACCTGGCTGCCCTCCTGGGCAACAGCCTCATCATCGCCACCATAGCCTTCGACCACCGCCTCCACACCCCCATGTACTTCTTCCTCTTCAACCTCTCCCTCCTTGACCTGGGATCCATCTCCACCACTGTTCCCAAGTCAATGTTGAATTCCCTGTTGGAGACCAGGGCCATCTCCTATGCAGGATGTGCTTCTCAGCTTTTCATGTTCATCTTTTTGATGTCAGCAGAGTATTATCTTCTCTCTGTCATGGCCTATGACCGCTACGTTGCCATCTGCAAACCCCTGCACTATGGGACCCTGCTGGGCAGCAGAGCTTGTGTCCACATGGCAGCAGCTGCCTGGGGCACTGGCTTTCTCAGTGCTGTGCTGCACACGGTCAATATATTTTCACTCCCCCTCTGCAAGGGCAATGCTGTGGACCAGTTCTACTGTGAAGTTCCCCAGATCCTCAAGCTCTCCTGCTCAGACACCTACCTCAGGGAGGTTGGACTTCTTATGTTTAGTGTGTTTGTGGACTTTGTTTTTTTTCTTTTCACTGTGCTGTCCTATGTGCAGATCTTCAGCGTTGTGCTGAGGATCCCCTCTCAGCAGGGACGGCACAAAGCCTTTTCCACATGCCTCCCTCACCTGGCCGTGGTCTCCCTGTTTATCAGCACTGTAGTGTTTGCCCACATAAAGCCCCCTTCCATCTCCTCTCCTTCCCTGGATCTGGTGGTGGCAGTGCTGTACTCGCTGGTGCCTCCCACAGTGAACCCCCTCATCTACAGCATGAGGAACAAGGAAATCAAGGATGCCCTTTGGAAAATGATCCAAAGGGTGCTCTTCCACTGATGTTAACCTGCGTCCCCTCCTCTGCACATTTCCCACATTTTATCTTAGGCCATAAGTCTGAGTTTTTCTCTCATAATAACTCTACTTGGAGATAACATTCTGGGTGTATCCTCCTTTTGAGAGTTTGTACTCTTGTTTCTGACCTTTGCACAACACTGTGTCACATGTGCCCTGACCGATAGCAGCTCTTCATTAAAAGGGGAGTCCTCAGGTGAGTACCTGAATGCTGGGCTCTTCCTCCAAAGTTGCTTCCAAGAACGTGTCCAAGGAATTTGTCTTTCAATCTTTCTCTTCTCCTTTTGTTCTCAGTCGTTTTTGGGTTAAGATCATGGAATTATTGGTTTCAGTTGAATCAAAATTTCTGGATTTAAAAGCTCAATTCTTATTGTCCAGGGGAAGGGGAGATGGTCCATGAGGTCCTTGTTATCTCTTCAGGTGGCTACATGCATGGCAGGATTCTACAGAAATAAATTTTGAGGTGTGAAGAATGAATGGGGACTCACCACGTGCCCTGTGGTCTCAATGAATGCCATGATCAATAAAAAGGGAACCAGTTTCCACTCATTACCCTCATAACAATCATTACTCATTACAGTCCCATAGCTCTGGCCACAGTTCATCTCTCAGCCAAGACCTTTTCTGTCAGCTCCAGCTCAATCAGGTGCTCATGGCCTTGCCATGGCAACTATTGAAAATCTCCATTGGTGAAAATCCCAAGACATAGGATTTGTTTATATTCTGTTTACAGACTAAAGCACCCCATGGTCTGCAGATGTGTCATTTCCTTACCCTTCTCTAGAAACGACCGTTTCAACATCTGACTATTGTCTACCAGTCTTCTGCTATGGTGACAAGACTGGCTTCATCTTCCTGTAAACCACCCTCTAGGGACTGGCAGGTCACTAGGACGTTCCCAAGGCCTTCCCTTTTGGAGGGTGAACAAGGCCCTTCCTGCTGTTTCTCCTCCCAGGCGAGTGCTCCAGCCCCTGAGCATCTCAATGACTCAGTGATGTTTCTACTACATCAGGAGGAGTTACGGAAAAAACACAGATACTGTGTGGCCACTGCTGATTTGCAAGAGCAGGTGTAGATTGCTCTGAGCTTCTCTGTGTCCTTTTTGCCTCAGTCTCTCCCAGCAAGG